GATACCCAGTTCTCCACCTAGTTTCCCCTCTAGCTGATTTTCTCGTTGTATAGCCTATTCTCTTGAAAATCAACCCCCGAAATCGAGAAATATGGACGATCCTGATCATAAAAGTGAACATCGTTGCCACCGCTGTCTTGTCCCGGGCTCAAGCTCGCTGGGCTTCGCATTGATTTTACGTTGCTTTTCCTTGTCCAAACTTGCAGTTCTATCATAACGCACAGGTCGTCCTTCCTACGTCGGCCCCGGCATGTCGTCCTTCCTCCACGATGGGCTTGTGGGAGTGAACGTCTCGTTACCGGGTTACCAGGATCGATCAACTTTGCAGGGGTCTTCCAAGTCGCACAGTCACTCGTTGGGATGGACAAGGTACTCTTCGAACTTTATACTGGTTGAACTTGCGTAATGGAGTCATCTTTCTCACAGGAGGATGGGACAAGGATTGAGCTGGGACTCTGGGATCACGGACGTGCAAACGCCAGAGAGCTGATTGGACCTCCAAACAACTGCCTTAACACCGTGTTCGATTCGTAAGCCATCATCTTTCAGCATACGTACGTGATGCTGATTGTGTGCATTGTTCCAAGCGCTCGGGGTCCTCCACCCAAGGAACCACTCACATCGCCATTTCCCACCTCTCATCAACGACCGGACGCACCAGGACCTTTTGGAGCGAAGACGTCGTCGATTGGTATGCTACCGGCGAGCTCGTGATCACGTCGGGAGATGTCAATCGGCTGGTTTCTTTGGGGTGTGATGAGAGCAGGACGAAAAGAATTTCCTTCTCTCGAAATGTGTTCTACAGGGTGGAACCTCACGCCAGCACTCTTTACTCTACTTGCAGATCTCGCAAACAAACATCTGTTGAGGGATGGGACTCGCGCATGACTGGTGATACCAACTCTGGCACACCATGCACTCTATCCCGTCCCCTTCAGGCTTCCCACATTGTAAACAGGCTCCTTCCTCTTCAGCAAACAAAGGTTGTCCCTCCTTAGCAGCAAGCTCCATATCTTCCATCACCTGCTTCAGCTCCAGGCAATTATGAGGAACAACATCTGCTGAGAATTATCCGATTCCAATGCTTCAAGTCCTCCGTTGAAAACGAGACCCGTCCATTTGGTGTACGCAAAACGTTCCCATTTGTATCCTTCATAGGCACCTTGAGCTTGATATACGGCATCTGGGAGTTGCCTTCGGGAGTGACGAATAGGAAGATGGGTTCCCTCCCACAAAGCAGTCTGCATTTGTCAACCAACGAATCATAATCGGACTTCCACATGGGCGACCGACTCTTGGAACAAGTTACTTGAAGTAGATACTTAAACCTACCAGCAAGCGCGTCCATCAGCGGATAGCTCTGGCTCGGAAGAAGAACATACTTGTCCATGTCCGTGGTGGTAAAAGGGAAATTGTTGCCATAGTGATGCTTGATTGTTGCCGGTGGAAGGATGATAATGCTACCATCAGCCAACCGGAAGTTCCCCCCTCTACGTAGAATGGAATGAGCGAAGTCCTCAAAGACACCTCTAGCAGCTGCAGCAAGTCTTGGAACAAAAATAGTTTTGCTAACGAGCTCCAGTCGCTTATTCACCTCGGACTCATAAAACAGTTCGTTAAAGCGCCTCAGGCACCAGGAGGAGACAAACTCCACTCCACCAATGTGCTTCATGTCATGGTCGGGAATCACACGGTGGTAGGTTGAGAAGTTCTCTGCCAGATTCTCGTAGTAGTAAAACACCGCACGATTTGCATTCTCTACCACCCACTTGAGGTCGCTCTTGAAGTTACGGACAATACCGCCACAGATGAAAAACCGAGCCATGAAATTTGCAGCACTCGTGAAGCCTGGGAGACTCCCCAAGCCCTTGTCCGCCTCTGCTAAAGTGTATCCAGTCCTCTGCAACTCGTCACCCAATGTCTTGTTCCACCACACTAGAAGCTCTGCGGGCTTCCACGCGCACATATGCAGCTCTGTGAAGTATCGCTCGTCCATAGTCTTTTCTGCCTACACAGCACCATTCCGAGAGTTTGGACTGGCAAAGAGCACAGACCGGCCAAAGGAATTCCTTATGCCTGTGAACCTCTCGTCAACCAGCAACCATGTTCCCGGCATTTGAAGGTAGCTTAAAGCAGCATCAAAATCTGGTACCTCGAAGCACTTGCCACTCGGATCGAAATAATACAAGTAGGAGTGTTGGGCCACCACGAGCTGCACTACAATCGCCTGGCGCTTCTCACGTAGCCGTGAAACGAAGTACCACAAACAACATGACTTGCCGATGCCCGGATTGCCAGAGATGTGAGTGAACGTGTACTCCGAGTTGAAAACCTTGTGAAACAGCCTCTTGTACTCAACGCGAACATAGATCTCAGCCTCACTAAATTTGAAGGGTAGACTCAGGAAGCCATCCTTCACGGTGAAGTCGCTCTCCCTCAAGCTCAGCTCCGTTGACGTTGGCACTGCAAGCGAAGGTAAGGATAGAAATGAAGAAAGAAGCCACTCCATTACCCTTCCGCTGCAGTAAGATAAGCTTCTCCTTGCGCAGCAGCTGCTTGTCCTTCCATAACCGCTTTACTCTGTCTTGCAGAAACTGCTTATCCTGGGCATCCGCTGTTGATTTCAGGTGCTCCTCAACCTTATCTATTTCTTCTTGGACTTGATCGATTTCCCCTTGGACAATGGAAATCCGATCATCCAAAAAATATTTGAAAGGCACTTTAGGATTTATAGTTTACAGCGCCCAGGTTGGCAGGTGATATTTTCCGCAACCTTCGTCCTTCGATCATAAAAAACTTAGTAGAATAAGAGCTTAAGATCTATATTTTCAAGACTTCTTGCTTGATCAGAGAAAATGCTCCAAGACGTCAAGAGTATGGAATTCGCGGTTTGTATTTCCGTCTTGTTTTGTAGAACTCCAAGCTTTCCAAGGCGGAGGAGCAGCTATACGAGCACTGGAAGCTAAGAATCAGAGAATGCCACGCTGAAAGTAAAGCCCAGCGAAGACACCAAGCTTTGGAGCAGAGTCTCGTCAGCCTCGTGAAAATCAAGTCCAACAAGGTATCGTCTTTTCATAGTTTTGAAAACCATGTCTCTTCGTTGTCATTTATGTGAACTAGCTGAGGCGACCAAGAAGCTCGAAGCTCGAGACTACCGAGTACAAGCAGGAATCTGCGGCTCAGAAGACTGCGGCTTTGGAAAAGATTCGCAAGTTAGAAGCCAGGAAAGAAGACACATTGAGAAACACCTCATATCGCAGAAGAACGATCAGGTAATCAGCTTTTTCGTTCAGCCTCTTGCATAAACATAGCGCTGTTTCTTTCTTGCAGGCGATTCTTGAGATGAAACGCCACGAGGTTAGCCAAGAAAGAACAGCCACCGATTGAATCGTTCTCATATGTTTTTATCCAGATAAACAAACTACAAGGGAGTCACAAGCAAGCTTTGAAACTGGCTTCTGTGAAGCAGGAGGAAGTTCAGTCGCTGTGCAACTGCTTGTTCCGTCCTGTGGCTGATCAAGTCTATGGCGATCCTGAAATGTTTGGCGAGACGAGGCAGATGTGTATAAATTGCATGGTAATAATTTTGTGTGATGCTTTCGACGATGAACTGACGTCTGCTATTTTCTGTTACAGGAAAGAAAAAGAGATCATTTTTCGCAGTTCATTACAGAAGGCTTTACTGTACTGCAACGTGTTCTTTGCGCTCTCTCACGCACCGGTCCTCCTACGTCGGCCTCGGCAAGTCGTCCTTGTCACGACGGGTTTGTGGTTGATCGTCTCGTTACCGGGTTGCCACCCGGTCCCAGGATCGCGTTTTCTTCCTTCGTTTTCTTGATGCGTCTCTCCTGATGGTAGTCACCTTGCATTCGGGGATGGACAAGGTACTCCTTTCTACTTCGTTTCTCGCATAATGGAATCAAATCTTTCTCACAGGAGGAGTGAGCTGAGACTTTGGATGGCCGACATGCAAATGCCAGCTGCCTTAACTCCGTATTCGGAACTTCGTCAAGTCATTTGTGATGTTTTCTTGCCTGGCAGAGGCTCACTCTCCAGGGTAACGATTTCCTGGCTCTGGGGGACAAAAGAGAGTTTTCCACGAGCTCACTTCCCTCCTCTACTTAGAACGAAGTCCTCAAAGATGATAAACTTGGTAGCTCCAGTCGCTTATTCAGCTCGGACTGAGACATTAAAGCGCCTCAGGCTGACCAACTCCATCCCACCAGCGTGCTTCATGTCATGGTCGGCAATCTTCAGGTGGGTTGAGACATTCTCGTCGTGGTAAACACACCGATCTGCATTCTTGTTGAACTCAGGAACAATACCGCCACAGATGTAAAACTGAACCCTGAAATTTGTACTCGTGAAGCCTGGGAGACTCCCGAAGTCCGAACGTAACATAACACAAGGATCCACATAAATCACAATTTAAGATTAGAAAACTGAAACTTTGGTGTGTCCACCTTCATGTTTTGATTTGATAAAATTTCCTAGCAAAGAATACCATTGCGTAGGTGTCCAATGGTACGAACGCCAATCGCCTACGTCCGCCCTGAAATGCTGCACAAAAAATCTCGTGTTGACAAAAGGGAATAACCCAACGTTAATATCGCTGTCGTTCTCGTAATTTGTGTAGGGGGATGGAGGAGGAGGATGAGCACAATGCCGGTGGCGCCGGTGCCAGCCGGATCGTAGCTAGCACAACTGAACAAAGAGGAGCTGGCGGGAGATGAGGCCCAGGCGATCAGCACAGGATGCCAAAGATCGAGCTCATGCCTCCTGATTTCCTCAGTTTTTTTCCCATCAGGGACGAGGCTGCCCTGAACGATGATGCAGTTGACAGAATCGCTGTCGCCCCTATAGTATCCAAGAAGGTCGAAGTAGAAGTTTTGGAGAGCTGGAGAAAACGGCGGTTCCAGCACGCAAACGATGCGAGGTAATTGCACTTTCGATTTTTTTTTGGGATGGAGGTAATCCCTTTGCTTCGTCTTGTAGCTAGCATGGACCATGTATGCATCCATCCCAAGTTCCTTCATTCTAATGCAACAAGCCACAAGTGGGCTTTGGGCGGTACTTCATCTAGTTATTCTTTTGTACTCTAAGATCTTGCTCCTTTCTTAGCGATAGCGGAGCTCCTTGACAATGCGCTTGACGAGGCACCACATGGAGCGACGTTCGTGAACATTAATGTTCTCAAGAATCCAGTTGATGGCTCGCCAATGCTTCTGTTTGAAGGTTTACGAGATGTTGTTTTTTATTTTCTTGTGAGCAACACTTTGTTTGTCAATTCAAGGAATAACCCAGGATCGGTTGCGAGAATGCATGTCTTTTGGGTATACTGAAAAGGATAAAGACAACTGCATGATTGGATAATGTATGTTGTGCTCTCTTTCTTTTTCTTCCTTTTTACTTTGGAAATCTGTTATCAGATGGAAACGGGGAGAAATACACAATATAGCACCCCCCTCTCTTACATGGCTGCCCTTTTGCCATGCTCACTCCTCGTTTCCTCTATAGCGTGCTTAGACGCACCTTAAATGCTTAATGACTAATTCTAAATTAGTAACCTTAAATTTTATTTAGTAGATGTTGTTAACGGATATATTAACAACTATAATTTTATAAGAATGAACGGCTAATAGTATATAACTTACACTTGGTTTGGGTTTTTCCTCATTGTGTTTTATGTTTGTCTTTTTTATTTTATTCATTCTCTTTAGTTATTATGGCTAAATTGGAATATATAGATCATGCTCAAAATAGTTTTTTTTTCTTTTTCTGATCTTATTGAGAGAAGTATATTTGACTTTTACTTTTAAATACTTAAAAATAATTTAAAATAATATATTAGAACAATCTTTAATTTATAGTAATGAGGTGGCATGCCTATGTAAGTAATGAAGTGGCATACAAATGCAAATAGGCAAATGGGGCACACACTAAATAAAGGGGGATGCTGTATTGTGCATTCTACCCCACTCGTTGGTTCGCTATAAGTTCTATGAACTTCATGGTTCTTTGAGTTCATTTCTTGTGCCTTGGTAATCAAATGCTAAACAATGCAATGTATGAGAGTTACTTACTAGAATTTTTTCCATACCAATTTCTGTTACAATACAGGTTTACACACAGTGTGGGGTTACTTTCTTACACCTTCCTTTGTGACACAACGCAGCAAGATGTCATAGTTCCTACAGTACATAGTAGAGAAATTCTCATAAATTGTATGGGTTGTGAATTCACTTTGTTCTTAACTGTAGTTGGATTATGAAGAGCGTGGGGTGAGTTGAGAGAGGTCCAAAGAGGTACACATCAGGATTGGGAATATTGCATAGGCACAATCACAAGATGGAGTCCTTATCAATCTGAAGAATCCATTCGTAACCAAGTAAGCACTCTATAGATTTGCAATATTTTATGTTATATATCTCTGTGATTTCAGTTCAAGAAAATCAAAGACCAAGAATCAGATCCTCAAGTATGCTTTGAATTTTTCCATGGTTTATTTTGCTGACTGACTTCAAGATTATTCGAATTAGGGGTGGTGGAGAACATGCGCATATGGTGGGAAAATATCCTGGTGCAAAACAATTCTTTCTGTACCAAAATTCTCTAAGGGTGAGAATGAATATTTTCACTTACTGACATTTATTTTGATTTGCAAATATATGCATCAATTTTGTACTTGCATTTGCCAAAAAATTTCAAAATCACCCTTTGAAACCAAGGATTTTACACCATAACATTCTACATTGAAGGGGTGGTTTACAAGCCAATGTAGGGTGTTTTTTTTTTTTTTTTTTTTTCTTTCGTTCTTTGAAATTTATGTGTCTTTTTGGGTGTAGATGTCTGCAATAGTACACCTTGGATTTTTAATGCAAGCGAGCACATAGATGTGCAAAGATTCAATGTCTATCACAAAAATTGGCTTATAAAGGTAATCATTCGCTCTACGCATTATTTTTCTCATTTAATCTGTAACAGCCTTTTTGGAGAATCTGGAATTCATCAGGCAGCCAAGGACGAGGTGTCATTGGCATCTTTCTTACATTCTTTGCAAATGCAAAGAAAGTTTTGGTTAATATTCGCCTTTTCTGCCATTTTACGTTTTTTACACAGGGATAATAACTGTCAGAAAGTTGGATATCAGGGACCATCTGCTACTACTGCTTGTACTATCAGGAAAAGGAAGATGATGCACAGCAACCTCAGATTGGGATTACTCTTTTTTAACATTTATGTTGAATCCTATGTGGCAGCCACATTGACCGTGCCCTCCCCATTCAACTTGGATGAAACTTGGCTGCTCGAGGACAAGAGGGGAGAAATTCAGTGAGAATGGAAGGATGCTAGAACGTTCTTCTTTTGTTTGAATTCTTCTAATAAACATTTAGAGGAAGTGCCAAAGAATTGCATTGCAGCAGATCTCATTCCAACCCTAAACAGCAAGCGCTGTCAAATGCTAATGTGTGAGTAAATGAGATGATGCATACTCGGTCTCAGTGGTTGCCATATAGGATTCATGTTAAAAAAGAGCCATCTTACCATTTATTTCCGACTAGAATGATGTTTCTTCAAGAATTACTAATGCCTCTAAAGCTGAGGAACAGGTTGAACTAACAGATCCACCAGCTGAGGGAGAGACGAATGTTATAGTTATAGTTACAGAGTTTTGTGCGTTATTTTTCATTACTACTGACTTTTCAGTCTATAGCTATAGCTGAGTTGACATATTCTCGCTGTTCCCGCAAAGAGTCTCCACGTCGAGGACGTAACCTGTGGTCATCCTGGACAAGAAATGGTCGAGCCACAAGAAATGGTCAAGCTTTGTGGAGGCGGATTTTGATCCAAAAAGTAAAAATGCATAGGATAAAATTCCCTATGGTGTGGGTGTCCAACAGGTTTAAGTAATGGCGCATTGTCCAAGCATCGTCTCCCTTCTGCGCCCTCCTCTTGGGCCTGGTCGAGTTTTTTTAGGTCATCTCAGTTCGTGGAGGACGATACCCATTTCCAGGGCGAGGAGAATGACGATTCATGGCGCTTCTCGGCTTGTCGCTACCAGAGCTGCCGCCGCCACCACCGCCACCACCAATGGTGACTTCCCCTTCCTTGTTTCCCCTCTCCAAGCTGATTTTCTCCTTGTGTAGCTCCTCCGCTGGGCTACCAGTTGCCAGCACCAGAAATCCGGAGGATTGTGGACGCTCCTCCGAATCCAGCGCTCTCCTTCTCACCCAAGCGCGACAAGATTCTGTTCATGAAGCGCACGTCGTTGCCACCGCTGTCGGAGCTTGCTCGTCCGGAGCTCAAGCTCGCGGGCCTCCGCATTGATCCGGAATGCAACTGTCGCAGCCGCATGTATGGTGATTCTACGATGCTTTTCCTCGTCCTTGGAGTTCTAACGTGTTCTTTGCTCTCTCTCACGCGCAGGTCGTCCTACGTCGGCCTCGGCATGTCGTCCTTGTCCGACGACGGGCTTGTGGGAGTGGAGCGTCTCGTTACCGGGTTGCCAGCCGGTGCCAGGATCAACTTTGTGAGCTGGTACTTCGTTTACTTCCTTCGTTTTCTTGAGTGGCTTGTGCGTATCTCCATTCCAGGTCGCCTGATGGTAGTCACCTTGCATTCGTTCTTTGGGGGATAGACAAGGTACTTTGCATTCTCTACGTACTGGTTTCTCGTGTAATGGAATCCAACCTTTTCTCACAGGAGGACGGGACAAGGAGTGAGCTGGGACTTTGGATCGTGGACGTGCAAACTCTAGAAGCCAGAGAGCTGATTGGACCTCCAAACTACTGCCTTAACACCGTATTCGATTCGTAAGCCATCATCTTCCAGCCTACGTCCGTGATGGTCTTTTCTAACTCACTCTCGCGTCAGATACTCGTGGCTGGATCCCTCGACACTGGTAGCGTGCGTTGTTCCGAGCGCTCGGGGTCCTCCACCCAAGAAACCACTCACGCCGCCAAGTCCCAAGGTTCTCATGAACGAGGAAAAGCGGGTCGTGCAGAACAGGACGTACCAGGACCTCTTGAAGAGCAAGCATGACGAAGACGTCTTCGATTACTATGCTACCAGCGAGCTCCTCCTCGTGTCCACGTCCGGAGATGTTGATCCGCTGGTGCTTGGCGAGGCTGCGGTGTACACCTCCCTGGATCCATCTCCTGATGGAAACTACTTGCTGGTGTCGACCATGCACCGGCCTTATTCTTTTTCGGTCCCCTGCGGCCGATTTCCCAAGAGGACAGAGGTGTGGACGAGATCAGGACGACTTGTACAAGAAGTAGCTGACTTGCCACTCGCAGAAGATATACCAATAGCTCATGACAGTGTTCGTCAAGGTCGAAGGTCCATCCACTGGCGCTCGGACAAGCCTTCATCCCTGTATTGGTAAGAAATGACTGTTTTTTTTTTCTTTCTGTTCCTCATGATATGTATATATGTGTTTTACAGGGTGGAAACTCAGGATGGTGGAGATTCGAGGGAGAAAGTATCTCCCCGGGACATAGTGTACTCACTTCGAGTAGATTCCAGTGAAGCACAGGAACCGGAGATTATTCACAAACTTGATCTTCGCTACGGGTACGTATTCTGCTGCTTAAGTCAAGTCGTTTGTGATGTGTGTTCTTGGCTGGCAGAGGCTCACTCTGGGGTAACGATTCATTGGCTCTGATTTATGAATCGTGGTATAAGACGCGGCAGACCAGGACATGGATGGTTGCTCCTGGTGCACTAGGCACCGAGCCTCGCGTGCTATTTGATAGATCGTCGGAAGATGTCTACTCAGACCCCGGCTCTCCGGTGTTACGCAGAACCTCGTTCGGTACTTACGTTCTGGCTCAAGTAAAGACGAGTGATGGTAATAGGAATCTATTGCTTGATGGCAACGGGGCAACTCCGGAAGGAAAGATACCGTTCCTTGATCTTCTCAACATGTAAGCTCCTTCACTCGCCGTTGATTTCGCAAACTCTTTCTTTGCAGTGATACTGGTGCAAAAGAGCGGATTTGGCAAAGCCAGAAGGACAAGTACTATGAAAAGGTCACGGCTCTCATGTCCGATCAGATAGACGATGATCTCGACGTGGACAAGCTGCGAATGCTCATCTCAAGAGAAAGCCAAACGGAGCCTCCGCAGTACTTTCTTTGGTTTTGGCCCGACAAGACTGCTGTTCAAGTCACAAACTTTCCGCATCCTTACCCGCAGCTTGTCAACCTCCAGAAGGAAGTGATTCGATATCCCCGCTCCGATGGTGTGCAGTTAACAGCAACGCTCTATTTACCACCCGACTACGAGCCATCAAGAGACGGCCCGCTGCCGACGCTGGTGTGGGCATATCCGAGAGAGTTCAAGAGCAAAGAAAACGCTGGACAGATGCGGCGATCACCGAACGAGTTTGCTGGTATTGGCTCGACGTCGCCTCTACTGTGGCTGGCGAGACGGTGAGTTAGCTCTTGCCCTTCGTTTTCCTTTTCTTCTTTAGAAGTTTCATCTTATACTCGCGCTGGTGATCAGCTTTGCAGTCTTGGATGGTCCAACTATACCGATTGTTGGAGAGGGTGAAGCTGAAGCCAATGACAGGTGCTTTTCATTGTATTTTCTCATGCTCGTGTATTGATTGATTGGCATTGTCTCAGCTACGTCGAGCAGCTGGTTTCTAGCGCTGAGGCCGCAGTTGAGGAAATCATTCGTCGCGGGGTAACTATCTAGATAGAGCTCTTTAGCTTCATGCTTGACAACTTTTGGAACTTTGCAGGTGGCTCATCCCGACAGAATTGCTGTAGGAGGGCACTCGTATGGAGCATTCATGGCCGCCAATCTCTTAGCTCATGCTCCACATCTCTTCTGCTGTGGCATTGCTCGAGCGGGAGCATACAACAGAACACTCACACCGTTTGGATTTCAGGTGGGTCTCCGTTTCTCAGTTTCGTCTCACTCACAACTTTGGTTTGCACAGAGCGAGGATCGGACACTCTGGGAAGCTCCCAAAACTTACATCGACATGAGTCCTTTCATGCTGGCAAACAAGATGCAAAAGCCCATCCTGTTGATCCATGGCGAGGACGACAACAACTCGGGTACGCTGACGATGCAGGTAAAAGTTTTTCTTTTTCTTTCTCCCGCTCGGCACTGTCCTGACAAGCTCACTCCAGTCGGAGAGATTCTACGACGCTCTCAAGGGTCACGGGGTGGTGTGCCGGCTCGTGCTACTTCCATTCGAGAGCCACGGATACGTAGCACGAGATAGCGTTATGCACACTCTGTGGGAGTCGGAGAGGTGGCTGGACAAGTTTTGTGTGGCTGCTACTAGCACCACCGGGGTGGCGGAGAAGAGCGAGGACTCCGAGAAAGATGCTAGCACGACTGCAGCTCCACTCTCATCGCTGTAGCTACCAGTGTGGAATAAGCAAGCCCTAGGAAGGAGGATGGGGTGGGCTCTGGCTCTTCACGGCGGTGCCGGCGACATCAAGCGCTCCGAGAGGACCGAGGCCGTGGAGTCGGTCCTCCTGGAATGCCTCAGCCTCGGTGTTGCGGAGCTAGAGTCCGGGCGATGCGCTCTGGACGTGGTTGAATTGGTGGTAAGCTTGGCTTTCTTTGCGTGACAATCGATCGCCATGCCACCTTTTTTGCAGGTCCGCGCGCTGGAGAACAACGAGATGTTCAATGCCGGCAAAGGATCGGTTTTGACGGCCGAAGGCACTGTGGAGATGGAAGCCAGCATCATGGACGGTGCCACGGGTGACTGTGGAGCGGTCTCGGGCCTCACCACGGTTGTCAACCCGATCTCCCTGGCTCGCCTCGTCATGGAGAAAACTCCTCACATCCTTCTCGCCTTTGACGGGGCCGAGGCCTTTGCAAGGCAACAGGTTCGAACGCTTTCGTTTCCTTGCTCTTGTTCTTGTTAACTGCAAAGCTCGAGTTGACAGGGAGTTGAAACTGCCGATCCCGGCTACTTTGTCACGGAGAGGAACATCCAGCGCTTGCGTCAAACCAAGGAGACGCAAACCGTTCAGGTAGAGTGGCCTAGCCTAGTTCGTTTTGTTCTCGCGCAACCGCTAACTGGAACTATCTTGAAAGATCGACTACTCGGTGCCTTCCGAAGCTGGCGAGACTGTGGGTTGTGTGGCCGTGGACTGCCATGGCAAGTGCGCGGCTGCCACATCCACCGGAGGCATGGTGAACAAGATGGCAGGACGCATTGGAGACACTCCGGTGATAGGCGCAGGAACTTACGCAAACGGGGTGTGCGCGGTGTCCACAACCGGGAAAGGCGAGAGCATCATGCGAGGCATGGTTGCGGCGGACGTTGCTGCTCGCATGAAGTACAAAGCTCTCAAGCTCTCCGAGGCAGCGGGCAGTGTTGTCAAGGAGCTCGAGGCAGGGACGACAGGTCTGGTGGCAGTCTCGGCCAAGGGAGAGATCGCAATGGACTTCAACACAACCGGCATGTTTCGAGCCAGTGCAGATCACACAGGGCACCTCGAGGTCGGGGTGTGGTGAAGGAGAACGAAGGAAAACAGCTCTTTTGCTATCTACATTCTAGGAGACTATGGCAGTGGCACGAATAAAAGATGGTCAGGATGGTTTACGACTCAGGAAGAAGAAGAGGAAGATCTCACGGGCTTCTCGAGCAATGCCGAGAGGTAGACTTCGTGGTTCTTGATGCCGTTCTTGTCGAGCTTGAGGCCGGCCACCCACTTGAGCTTGGTGTATCCCAGCCGCTCCACCATGGGGGCGTAGAGGGTGTGGAGCTGGTCCTGGGTGCAAAAGAAGTGATCCAGCCACAGGATCCCTCCGGGACGCAGCACCCGGTCGATGTCGAAGAGGATGAACTCGAGAGTGCGCGTGGGGATCCAGCTGCTGAGGACGTGCATGCTGTGGACGAGATCCAGCGTGTTGTCGAAGAAGGGGAGGCGCTGGCCGACGGTGAGGAAGATCGGGACGAGGCCGCGCAGCGCGATGAACTCGTTGAAAGGCCCGTTGAGGTTGAGCGAGGTGGTGACGATGGTAACGTTGTGCTCGGCCATCCTGGCGGCAAAGCTGGCGGTGCCGCCACCGATGTCTAGCCCGATCCGGAGGCTCCCGCGCTTGAGCGCCACCAGGTCCTTGATGGTGATCACGTCGTTCTTGCCTCGCGGCACCACCCACCTCGTCCTCTCGGCGCCCGTGAGCTCGAAGCAATCCGCGCAGTCGACGAACACCTTGCTCTCCTTGGCGCGCCGGTTGAGGCAGTCGAAGCTCTTGCAAGTGTAGTGGCTCCAGCGGATGGTATCGTCGGGCGGGGTGCTCCAGCGGCAGCCCGGCAGCGGCAGCGGCGTGGAGTAGGAGGGTGGCGAGCGCGCAAAGCAGCGGCGCCGCGGCAGGGGCTCGCAGCCGCGCACCATGAGAGCTTGGGCGATGTTCCAGTCGTCCGGGCAGAGGCTCCCGACGGTGTAGTTCATGTAGGTGTCGAGGAGAGCCATGTGTTGGAAGCAGGCATGGCCGATGGGCGATACCATCGTCTCGCCGCCGTGTGTTGGGTTTCTTCCCAGGGGCAGGCTGCGCTCCTCCGTGTACTCGAGAAGCTCCGAGCTCATGAGCAGAGATCTGGATCCAGCGCTTGGTCTTGTCCGCGCCGCTGTCAGTGCCTGCCGGATCTCTTCTCTCAGGGATGCTATCTCTGCGAGGAGTGGAGTGGAAGAGGGCGATAGGAGATTATCTTGCCTGACCCCCCGTGACACGGAGAGGCTGTAGAGCGCCATGAGATTGGTGCTGACGATCGAAGCCACTAGGAGGAGGTTCCATGCCACGCTCCACATTGAGATCGAGGAGGAGGAAGACCTCTCTCTTGCTGCCTCGGCCTTCTTCATGCCACAGCCCACCTCGATCGAAAGCAGCGAGTGGGATCTATCTGGACGCTCACATTTCCAGTCCCATTCGAAGACTCGACTTCGTGAATGTCTTGTTTGGTTGCATCATGCGAAGAGCTTCACGATCCACGATGCGATGAGATTCTTTGACATGCGACATGTGAATTCTTGTCGGTGCGCGAATGGAATCACCAGAGTGGACTTAGAGCGGCTGATACATGTTTTGGATTTTCAAAGCTTCGCGGGGCGTTGACTTCCTTGACTTTTCTTGACCGGATATTCTATATGCTGCTCTTTGGGCAATCCCTCACGAGTCGATAAAAATGAAGGTGGCAAAACTCCTTTATATGGATGCTTTCTACGCACCAAAGGTTGTATAGAGATGACAGTAATGGTGTTGGTGCTTGCTAATGTCTTGCTACTTTCTCTCTTGTGCTGCGAATTCGCCTTTGGTGTTGATCCCACAGTTGGTTTTGAGAAGCAACAAGTCTCTTGGAAAATCCAAAAGCCATATGATCTCCAAGTTTCCGATCGCTACAACTTCAGCGATGGCGTGCATAAGCTGTGGGTGTATACTAGGGACAAGCCCCATAACCCGCATAGTCCTACAAAGCCAAGGACGGAGCTTAGATTTCGAGTAAGTTGCAAGAGAATCTAGCTCTTAATTTTGGTGTTGATAGCAGTCTATCTTTCTAGCAACCACAATACTCACAAGGAATCTGGCAATTCGAGGGAGACTTTTACGTTCCTTCGGGCACCACCGGAGTGTGTATAATGCAAATTCATGGCGGAAGGAACAGTGCCACTGCGCTCCAAATTCGAGTTGATGGGCCTGGTGATTTGATTCGGACTGGAGCGGACTTGGAGCACGCGACATTCGCAACGCACATCTATGACAAATGGATCCATCTCAATGTCATTCACGATGTAGACCATGAGATGCTTAGCATTTATCTGGATGGAGAGCTCAAGCATTGGGAGGTGAACGAAACATATGAGGAGCATTATTTCAAGTGTGGAGTGTACACACAGAACAATGCTAGTGAGTATATGGAATCCAGGTGGAAGAACATCAACATATGGAAGCTTTAGTTGTGAACTAAAAAGGCATGTTTAAAACCACAAAACTCTTGAATCTCACTTGGAAAACCCCTGCCACCTTTTGCTCCCCTCCTCACAATGATAGTCCGCGAGGATGAGCGCGAGAACAGAGGTGGTGATGCTGCTGTGATGATGATAGAAACCAAGGAATTCCACGTTTCATTAGCCTGGTTCTTTTCTTTGTGTCTAGCCAGATGGAGCTGGAGTTGGAGATGCCGGAGCTTCTGCGGCTACAGGAGACGCTACCGGGGATGCTGGAGCTTCTCCCGTCGCCGGTGGAGCTGCTTCACCATCTTGAGCAGTGCCTTCGCCCGGCTGAGCTTCCGACGTTGATGCTTCGGGAGCTGGCACCACTTCTGGCTCTGGCGGTGGCGGCGGCGGAGGGAGTGGCTCGCCAGCACTGAAGAGCTTCAAAGCGTAGGCTAGATCTTTTAAAGTTTCCGTGTATCCTGGGCAACCCTGCTCCATCTTCTCGATCGACTCGTCCGAGAATTTGCTGCGCAGAGTAACGAGCAAGCTCGCATGGTACTGGGAGAAAAGAACTCAGTTCCTGGCGCGAGGAAAAAGAAAGTATACCTCTGTCGTAAACTCTTCTTTGTATTCTGGGGATTTAAACTCGGTCAAGTTGAGAAGAGCGTTCCCTTTCTGCTTGTACAGGACGTGTAGCACATTCTTGCTCTGCAATCACAACAGGTATAGCTTGGCTGAGCTTGAAACTTAAGACTTGATTACCTTGTCAAACGTTGGCGGATACTTGGGTTCGGGTATCTCAAGAAATCGAAACACGCAAGTCTGAGCGTCTGCGTGAGCGTTCCATTTGCTGCTTGCGAAAGCAGCGGCGGGAGCTGCCATGGCCAGATCACGGCATGCATACATCTCCACTTCCGGATCCTTTCAAAGCTAGCAAGATATCACGGCAATAGCTTTAGTAAGCTAACAAGAGGCTCTGAAGAAGCTGACCTTAACAGTAGTTTTTACGTGCCGGAAATCGTCTTCGTCGGGGAGAAGATGGATGCCACACTTGGATAAACGCTACAAAGGACCGCAAGAGATTTTAGAACCATGACCAACCAAAAACCATGCTCAAGCGTTCACCTTTAGCAGGACTCGAGGAGCCAGTTTTTGATCGTAGAGATGCTTGCATTCCGGGAAGTGAGGTTCCACCAGTTTGCACCATCCATCGCCGACCTCAAACTTGAGCATAAGCGAGGCAGCGTGCAGTGTCAAAAAGGCCTCGGATTCCGAAATGGGATTGATACTCCACTTTGTGTGTGGGAATTGCCTCACTCGGTTCTGCCAATAGCAACAGTCGGCAATAGAGCTACAGAAACAAGTTTAAAAGCTACCTGAAGCATGGCATGCGGTCTTATAATAATCGTGTGGAACGTCAGCTTCCGTGTTTCAGGTTCATACACCACGTCGGTGATATTTTCAAACTTCCAGCATTGCTCTTCCTGGACGGGAAAAATGTCAGTACTCAAGATTTCTCATGTCGCGTACTCGCTTACCGCAAACCAGCATCCAACTTTTGGAACAGGATCAAAATGGATGACAAACTCTGGCAATGTATAGGCGACGATGATCGGAGGTATGACGTTTCCAGGTCCCAAAGGAACCCCAACAAACGGGTATTCGACTGGAATAGTTGCTGCTGTCAATGGAGTAACTGCAAGGAAAGATTGTTTCTGTCATATTACCTGCTTGTGAAACTCGTGTGGACGACGGTGCTGACCTCTTTCAAAAGTCCATTCTTTTACGGTCTTTGAAAGCGGTGGAAGTTGGACAATCTCAAACCTGAATGCCCCACCCTGTGCACAATTCTCAGAACCAAGAGCTAGAGAAAAAAAGAAAAAGAAAAAGAAAAGAGATTGATAGTTCCTTACCAGTGTCCTGTAAATGTCTTTGGACTTGTAAAGAGGATCGGTGACTTGATGGTACATGCGAACTCCAACATGGGCGAACACGAAAGGTTTTGGAACTTCTACAAACAAGTTGATGGCCGGGAAATCAAGGTTGCGAGCTCGTGGATTTTTTGCATGATTCGCCCACAAAGCAAGTTTCCAGCCTGCTTGTCCAGAGAACAAGCTGCACTCGTTCGTCCTCTTGTAGTAGTCGTGGGATTTCTGCACTTTAACCAGTGGAACTTTAGAAGGCTTTCAGTGCTAAAGGACAAGTGCCCGGTACATACTTCAAGTAGATAAGCTGTGTTATGATTAAGTCGTCTGTTTGCAAGCTCTTCCAGCCTTCTCATGTAATCGTGGTACCTAGAAAACGTAGAAAAGCCATCGTCTTAGAGAGTAGAATAAGAGAAAAAACTGAACTACATTACTTCTCGACGAGCTGTGGCCTCCCTTTCTGCTCTTCCACTAAAGCAAGCTCTTCGGCCCCTGCAAAGATCTTAGACAAGAAAGCTGTGTCATGTTTGTCGCAGCTAGCACGAAGATATCTCACCGAGTAAATATCCGTGAGAGTGCGCATCACGTCGTTTATATCCTTGTCATATCCCTCCGCCATAACGTTGAGATAGCCGTTCATGCTTGGATCATTGCCAGCATAAGGAAGAGGACCAGGCTCAACATATCTCTTCCACTGTATTGCCGGCAAGAACGCTGCTCAGCTAAAACACGAAAGCAAAGCTTACCTCAGCAGCTCCATTGTAACGAGCTTCATGCTTTGCAAGTCCCTCCCTGCGACGTTTTAGAACTGGCTCTAAGCTTTCCCACTCGCCGACTATTCGGTCGTGCTCGGCTTTAAGCCGTGCTTGTTCTGCCTCCCATGCTAGTCTTGCCTCTTCGGCGATCCTTTGCCTCTCTTCTTCTTCTAGTCGCAGCTTCTCTGGAGTAAACAGAAAGAAGAGAAGAGTGTAGCCACATTTCCAAGTGATTGATTACCTTCAGCCGCTTTGCGCGCTTCCTCCTTTTTCCTCTCTATAAGAATGTGAATTGTGAGGATCCAGAGAAGAAGAATGCCAATGCCATACCTTTTTCCTTCTTCTTGAGCGCCTTGAGCTCCTTCTTGGAGAGCTTCTTATCAGCCTTGGGCGCCATTCTTTTCCTAGAGATCTAAGACTAGAGAAATCCTTGGATGATCCATTGCCCCTAGGTAACTGCCGCCATGTCCCAGCCCTTGGAAAAAGAAAGACAAAGCCTAGGGCGCCACGTGGACAGTAGAAGCCCTAAAATCATTGTGTTTGAAGAACCCCGGCCAAAGCTCGAGCTATGGAGATCGAGGAGGCGCCATCGCCTAGGGCAGACGATCCCAGCGGCGATGCCGCGGCGGCGATCCCGCTCATGCCGATGAAGCGCAGCAGCAGCGCCGATTTGGATCTGGAAGCCGGGCCGGGAGAGCAGCCCCAGTGCCGGATTTGCCTCGAGTCGGACGGTAAGGAGGCCCTAGCTGGTAGCTGCGGTGGGGAATGATCGCTTGTTTCCATCCAGGGCGCGATTTCATCGCGCCATGCAGGTGTAAGGGATCCTCGAAATTTGTCCATCGCGCGTGCCTGGATCACTGGCGGTCGGTCAAGGTGCTCTTAGATTTCTAAGCAAAAACTCGCTGATTATCAGCAAGCCGGGGTTGGATCGTGGCAGGAAGGCTTCGCTTTCGCGCACTGCACGACGTGTAAGTCGCCGTATCATCTCAGAGTTCTCCAGGCACCCGCTGATAGGAAATGGAGGCAGCTCAAGTTTCGATTCTTTGTCACTAGAGACATTCTCTTCATTTTTGCGGCCATCCAAGTTGTAAGTCAAGTTTCTTCCGCCATAGCTCTTTCCATCTTGACTGACCTTTTGCTTTTGCTTGAAGATCACGTCGGCCTTGGCGTACATGGTTTATTTGATCGATCATCGGCAGAAAGAATGGATGCGCTTGGCATTTGGATTCGAGAGTTTATACAAGTTCTACTATATATGCGGTTTGTTTCAACCCTTCCACAAGAGCTTTGTACCTAAGAGCTTTGCTTCTTCTTTTTTTTTTCCTTAGGTGCGTTTCTCTTCTTCTCCATGCTCGGGCTTTCAGGATGTTTCTTGACGTGCTACGATCGTCGCGTTCGCAACGATCTCGCACAGCCATGCCGAGAAGTCTGTATGTGCTGCTGCCATCCCGGGTGAGTGAAAGAGAATTCGGTTTTTAGACATAGCGATTGATGTCGTGCTTTGCTACGTTTTTTCCAGAGCTTGCGCCGACTGCCATTTACCAGGAACAATGTGTATGTGGACCGATTGCACGGCTTGCTTCGAAGGCTGCGCAGCAACCATGGGAGAATGCGGCACTTGCTTGAGCGGAGCGGGAGAAGCCGGGGCCCCGGTGCTGCTCGTCGTCGGCCTTGCAGTCCTGGCGCTCTTTGCAATCGTCGGGATCTTCTACAGCGTTTTGGTGGCGACGATGGTTTGCCAGAGAATTTGGCAGCGGCACTACCATATCTTGGCCAAGCGAATGCTAACCAAGGTAAAACTTCGTTTTTTTCTTTCTAGAGTTCTATCTAGCTCACGAATGAATGGAAAACACATCGGCAGGACTATGTGGTGGAAGATCTGGATGGAGAGTCACTGGGACCGGATTGGACGCCTCCTCCCCTTCCGCCGGATCACGTCCAACATCTCAAGTCGCTGGGATTGCTCTGATAGAGAACTCTCCCGGCTTGTAACATATAAACGAGAACTTAAGATTTGTAAGGGGCATTCCAGATGGAAGCCAAAAAGGCGAGCGGCGGCCACCACCAGTGACAGCCTTCCGGACGATGTCATCCTCGCCAAGTTACCTCAAGACTATCATTCCGAGGATTAGTACCCTCTGGTGAGCAAAAGTCCTTGGTGAGCTTCAAGAGCTAGCAACTTCCTAGATGGAATAGAAACCCTCAAAAGCTTTTGTTTCCACGGTTGTCATGGCGAATGAGCAAGAGGCGCTTGCTTGCGTGGGAGGACGAGATCGCTTATCGGCTGCGGCAATGCGGGGACGCGAAGGATCTCTCGTGGGGCAAGCTCATTCACGCTTCCATTCTCGACTCCACCAAGCTCCTCCCCACGTATCTCGGCAATCTGTTGATCCAGATGTATGGCAAGTGTGGCTGCCTGGACCAGGCCCACGCCGTCTTCTGCAGCCTCGAGATGCCCAACGTCTTCTCGTGGAACATCTTGTTCCAAGCGTATGCCGCGAACGGGCATACACGGCAAGCGAGAGACTTGTTTCAAAACATGCCGCAAAGAAGCGTTGTGACGTGGAATGCAATGGTGAACGTTCTGGCTCAAGACGCGCAGCTTGACCAGGCTTGTGCCGTATTCAATGTAATGCCCGCGCGAGACGTTGTGTCCTGGAATGGACTTGTTGCAGCATATGCCGTAAAGGGGCATTTTTGTTTATGCCAGGACTTATTTGATCTGATGCCGCAGCGCGACGAGGTCACCTGGACCGCCCTCGTGTCTGGTCTATCTGAAAGTCAAAGGCCGCTTGAGGCTGCTAATGTATTTACTTTAATGCCGCACTGGAATGTTGCGGCAGCGACGACTATGATAGCAGCAAATGCCCAGATGGAAAATCTGGATGAGGCTGCTAAGACTTTCGGGAGAATGCCGCAGCGAAATGTAATCTCCTGGACGACCTTTCTTGATGCATATGCTTGCAAGGGGCTGCTAGCTTTTGCCACGCAGATTTTCGACCGAATGCCGAAGTGGAGCCTTGTAAGCTGGACTGTCATGGTGCAAGGATTTGCGCAAGGCGGCAACCTACACGAAGCAAAGGTCTACTTCAACAACATGCCGGAACGAAACGATGTCTCTTGGAATGTGATGCTCTCTTGCTACGCCCAGAGCTTTCACAACCACGATCAAGCTCTGGAAATCTTCCAGAGAATGCCCCGCCATGACGTTGTGTCGTGGACTGTGATGATCCAAGCTTTCGGCCAGCAGGGCGACGTTGGAGAGGCTAGAAGTTTCTTCGACAAGATGCCGAGTGTGAGCTTGGTGTCGTGGACGACGATCATCGTCAGCTACGCCCAAAATGGTTATCTAGACGAAGCAAAGTCCGTGCTGGAAAAAATGCCGCTTTGGGACCTCGTTCCTTGGAACGCAATGGTTACCGGGTACGCTGACGCTGGTCACTGCTGTGCTGCAAAGGATTGCTTCGACACGATGCATCATCGGGGAGTGGTGACCTGGAACTCGATGATCCAGGCTTATGCTCAAGCTCGCGATCGTGTCAACGACGCGGAGGCTGTTTTTGAGAGGATGCCACAGACCGACATCGTTTCCTGGAACTGTTTGATGGGAGCGTATTCTCAAAACGGTAATTTCTCGCAAGCAAAGTGGACATACGATCGAATGCCGGACCGAGACGCTGTTTCTCACGCAGGAATCATGGCTAGCTTGTCGGGGATTGGCCAAGTCGAGGAAGCTCGAGTAGTGTTTAGCAGGATGGTCGGCAAAGAAGTGGCTTCCTGGCTCGCTTTGATGCAAGTGTTTGCTGCAAATGGTCGTCACCAAGAGGCAAAAGAAGTTTTTGGCAGGATGCCACGGCACACAGTATCCTGTTGGAACGCTATCGTTTCGGTCCTCGCAAGCAGTGGAGATTTGGAGGAAGCCTCCAACACTTTGAAAGCGAAAATGCCAGAACACAACACCCTTTCGTGGAACATCCTGCTGAACGCTCACGTCCACCAGGAGAGCAGCGAGCTCGATACTGTAAAAACGCTGTTTTTCGAGGCACCGGCCAAGAACTCCTCGTCGTGGAACGCCCTAGTGGAAGCTCACGTCCACAACGACGAATTCCAGCAAGCCAAGGCCATCCTCCTCGCCAAAATCCCGCAGTGGAGCATGTACGTGTGGAACGTCTTGCTAACGGGGTTTTCTCACAGTGGTTTCATGGACGAGGCCGAGTGGAGCTTTGAAACAATGCCGCACAGGGACGTGATCTCCTGGACCGCAATCATCACCGCGTGCTCGCAAAACGGCCTCGCCAGGAGAGCTCTCGACCTCTTCCAGGCGATGAAGATCGAAGGCATCGATCCCGATGGAGTAACTTTCGTGAGCGTCTTGAGCGCCTGCAGCCACGAAGGACTGATGAAACAGAGCCGGAGATACTTCCTCTCTATCGCCGGAGACCACGGATTGGATCACAGGAAAGAACATTACTGCTGCATGGTGGACAGCCTCGGACGATCCGGCCGCCTTGATCTTGCCGAGGAGCTCATCACCACCATGCCGTTTCGCCCAGATGGAGTGGAGTGGGGAATGCTGCTCGCTGCTTGCAAGCTCCACCGCGATGGTGATCGTGGAGCTCGAGCTGCCGAGCGTGTCTTCGATCTCGATCCAGGAAACGTTGCTCCTTATGTGCTCCTCGCCAACATCTACGCAGTGCTCGGCAAGCACGACCAAGTTGCCGCGGTGAGAAGGATGATGATCGCCAGAGGTGTGAAGAAGCAGCCGGGAGTCAGCGTGATCCGGCACGATGGCTCGCTCCATCGGTTCGTGGCTGGAGATTTATCCCACCCTCGATCTCCAGAGATCATTGCAGAGCTGGATCGGCTGAGCGCTGGGATCAAGGAAGCTGGCTACGTTCCAGACACCATCGAAGTATTGCATCACGTCGCTGAGGAAAGCAAGGACGAGCTGCTGTGCCACCACAGCGAGCGGCTTGCGATCGCTTTTGGGTTGATGGTGATCCAGGACGATCGCGCCAATCCACGCAAACCAGTGCGGGTGCTTAAGAACCTTAGAGTTTGCTCGGACTGTCACAGCTTCACGAAGCTCGTGTCTAAGCTGGTTGTCAGGAAGATCATCGTGAGAGACGCTAGCCGGTTCCATCACTTTGAGCATGGGAAGTGCTCGTGTGGAGACTACTGGTGATCCCACTTTAGAAGCTGATCGCTTGCCTTCTCATAATTCACGATTGGATTGATTCTTCTGTTGAAGAACAGCAAGAAAAAGGAGAATATTTTAGTACACTAAATAATATTTTGTTAACGTTTTAATAGCTGGTTTGCTTGGGATGATTTTAGGGTATTCTTGTTATTTATCTAGATTAATCTTGCATTTACACTTTATAAATAAGTTTCTAATTTATAAACTTTCTTAAGCCTTTTTTAGTATATTCTTTTTTATTCTATCATCTAATGGTTGATATGCAATAAGATTAATCTTGTGTTTATAAATTACAAACATGCTTATTAGTTATAAATTTTATTTGATCAATTGGATTAATAAGTAATAATAACACTACTATTAAGCAAACCAAACATTGTTACATGCAACATGTAGTAATTTATCCTAATATCTAATCTTAGTTGAATTTAATAGAGGTTTTGCCTTATAGAAATTATTATTTTAATATTTAATAACTAGTATTTATATAAATTTTTTAAGCTATATTATTAATTTTTTATTATCAATATAAAATATCTTAAGTGTAAGTTATAAATAAAAATTAGCCATCTCGCTCTTCCTCACTATTGTAAGGAATCAACTCCTCAAGGTGTCATAAGTTAAAGAATCCCCGAAAGAATGATCGAAATGATAAAGAGTTCATCGGATAGGACCGAGTTCGAGATCGAGTCTAAGATCGACTCTGAGACTGAGTTTGAGGCAGAGTCCAGGATCAAGTCCGAGGTTGACTCCAAAACTAAATTCAAGACCGAGTTCAAGACCAAGCTCGAGACAAAGTCCAAGATCTGAGATCGGGTCTGAGACCGAGTCCAAGTTTGAGTCTAAGGTCAAGTCCGAGATCAAGTCCAAGGTCGAGTCCAAGATCGAGTCCGAGACTGAGTCCAAAGTCGGGTCCAAGATCGAGTCTAAGATCAAGTCCAAGACTGAGTTCGAGTACTAATATAGGTTGAGGGGTGAAAGCCCAAAGCGAGCGTCTCCCGAGGGGGGGCTGCAGGGGGTTCCAAAAGTATAGTAGGGATAGTAAGGTTTAGGAACCAATCTTGAAGGAACTTTCCAGTAATGTTTCTAAACTAACTTGAGGTTGAGACTAAGGTTAAGGGGCTTTGGATGGGAGTGAGCATGGACTCGGGTAGTGCCGGAGGGGCCACTTAAGGAAGTGCTCAAGAGCAACTCCCACTCCCGAAAGGGAAACTGACTGCGGTGCTCCCGGCTTATATGGAGTGGTGCCTCACTTGAGTACCTTGTGGCTCATTGGTCCTCACACTTCCTAGGGGCTTAAGCCTTCCCTTCGGGATGGACGTGGGGGGATAGAAGTACCTATACCAAGCCATTAGGGCACGGTGTTTCCCTTCGGCATCCCGAAGCAAGTGTTGCATTTAAGGCTTGGGATTTAAAGGATCCCATGATCAAATTTTGTTGTATCAAGGGATGTTAAAAACTTGAAGGCTTGGTGTGCTTAGTTACTTGTGCATGTAGAAAGTATAACCAAACCTTAAGTCTAGTGTAACCCAGGGAGAGGGATTGGGAAAGATTTGGGAATTCGTGGATGGGTGGCTAATGCTCCATTGTTCGTGCAGTGAGTAGTTGAAACCAAATAGGACCAAGTAAGAGTTAGTACAATAGGGGGGAACCTTGGCGAGGGAACTTAACTAAGGCCAAGGCAGTGTTGGTCGAATAGACGAGGTAATCTGGCAAATTGGAAAGAAAGAGAATAATTTTTATACAAAAAAGTTTCAGTCTCTGGATATAGCTCATGCTTAAAACTCTCATTAAATGACTTAAAATAAGAATCAGTCATATACTTATGTGGAAAAGATACCACAAAATCAATGAGAACCACCAAAATACCATTAATGTATGCCCTCTAACTTAGCACATCAGCCACTAAATTTTTATTACCAGGAATACAAATGATCTTAAAAATATGTAGCTTACAACTACTTGAACTTGTCAAATCACTTTGTGATGGGGATTATAAAGATTTTCAGTCAAACTATAAAAATCCACTAACATTTATAGATTTTATATAAGAAGGATCATTCTATTAGGATTCAATGGTATAGATGAAAGGAACTTTAAGCATGTTAAAGGTGTTATACAAACCTTTAGCTCCTCTAAAAGCTTGTGAAAGTCTTTTATATCCATCTTTAAAAGGTCTTCCTTGGTAGAAAAATGTGGAGTCTATGAGATCCCTGCACTGTTTGCACACAGCCCTGACGCAGCAGTGCAAATCAACTATTGGCAAGCGCTTCAAACTTATTTTTTCCCCTTTTCTTGATCTTGCTCCTTGCTCTTGAATAAACATACCAAATATACCCACACCACCCTTTTGAGCATCTTTTCCCTTGGCACTAACTAAAGATATTGCTACTAATGTCTTTTCTTAGGCATGCTCCTCTTCCTCAACAATATCAGTCCAACTTTGCTTTTTGGGCTTTACAGAAGATTCACTTAGTTTTAAACTAGATCCACCATTGGCTATCTTTCTACATTCAACTCTTCAAGAAGATGTTGCAACAATATTGAATTAAAGATCAATAAAAGAAACTCACACTTTGAAAATTAGTTCTCTCCATATAGGCAAGAATTGTTATATAAATCCTCTGATACCAAGAAGGGTGCAATGAACAAATTCATCACTCAAGCCATGTGTCATAGAATATTTGACACATCAATTTGGTGATGCTTCCCTAATCTCTTGCTAACACAGCCTGTTAGTTGGCAACCTCATAATGCAATAGAAGTGTGTACATGTGACCTAACCTCATAATGCACTTTGGATGCTAACATAAGATCTCCACACATGCTCACTCCAAAATACTTAGAACACTAATAGAAACACACTTATTGTTCAAACAAAAGAACCCACTGAATGAATGTGAGGATATTCCAAAACCACACTCAAGATGCTCACTCTAAAGCACACTCCAAGAAACACTATTAAATGCATAATCCTTGAGGGGGTGGGGTGAGGCTTGGCTTTTCCAACAAGGCCAGAATGGCACAGCCTAACCCTTGCTCCCCATGCAGAAAGATTCCAGAGCTGAAGAATAAGAGCAGGATAGCTCCACCCCTAATCCACATAATTGCCCTAACGGCCTCAAAGCATGAGTTTGTGCAATACACACTGTTAGTTGCTGCCATCCGTGGCAATGTAGTACTTCACCAGCGGCTCCAGCAGTTGCCCATGGCCTAGGTACTCCAAGAGAGATTTTCCATCTGCACAGACGCCCTCACTGGCCCTTTGGACCAGAGAACCACAACATCATCATAACGCCTAATCACACCCCCTACATCTAGACAAGCTGAGGAAGATCCCTACTTGTGTCACACAGGCCGAACACCATGACATAGGCTGAGGAGCTGAGCAAATCGAGCTCGGCCATCTCCATCGCTGCCCAAGACCCCATGGAAGCGTCATGATGGACAACACAGGCTGAGAGGAGCGTCCTCCATGTTGCAACGTCGGGAGAGAATGGCATTCCATCAATCAATTCCTTGGCTTCCGCAACCATTCCCAGCCTTGCCACAAGATCTACCATCACTCGGTACTGGCTCGCCGAGGCTCTCAATCCATAGTCCACCACCATCGCCATGAAACGACCCCATGCCTGTTCCACCATCCCGGCTTTGCTACACGATGCCAGTAGCGTCGTGAATGTGAGTCCGTCTGGCTCCACACCTTGGAGCTCCATGAGATAAGCGCTGTGGAGAGCCTGATCGACGTCTCCTCTCGTGGCGTGGAGGGCAATGATGGAGTTCCAAGCTAGAGTATCCTCTTGGCAGTCTGTGTGGCGATTAAAAAGCTCCATTGCTTCTTCCGTGTGCCCATTCCTGGTGTACCCCACGACTACGGCCCACAAACTGGGAGCTTTGTTTGGGATCGCGTCAAAGATGTTCCTGGATTCTTGGAGCAGGCCTTTTTCCATCAGTGCCAAGATCACGTAATTGCAAAGAGCAGTGCTCCACTCAGGAATTCCCATGAACAAGCTCCTGGCCTGCTCGATCTTCTCATTCCAGAAATAGGTGTGGATCAGGGACGCAAACGAGGAGATTTCCCACTGTGGAACACGATCAAAAACGGATTTTGTAGCTTCCATCGAGCTGCTGCTCGAGCTCGAGGACATCAGAACGTTCCACGAGGCAGAGTCTCGTCTAGGCATTCCATCAAAATGAGCTTTCGCTTCTTCCTGGAGGCACGAAGAAGCAAGACTTTCAAGCATGGCATTGCTCGCTTGCGTGTCCAAGCTCGGCATCCTCTCAAACACACTCTTGGCTTTCTCACAATTGCCACCCTCGCCATAAGCCGAGAGCAACGCGGTCCAAGTTCTCACACTTCTTTGCGGGATTCTTTCAAACGTTTTCTCGGCTTCCACGAGAGAACCATGGCCAGCGTACGCTAGAAACATTGAGCTCCACAAATCGGCACCACGCTGGACCATAGTTTCAAAACGAGCTTTCGCTCTCTCGATCCCGTCAACAACAGCAGCGTAGGCCGAGATCATGGCACCGCACGACATCAAATCCCACTGCGGCATCAAGCTAAAGAATATCTCGGCAACTGCTGCTGTCCCAGCGTCCCTAATCATCGTGGACCACGAATACCCATTGCGACAAGGCATTCCATCGAAAAAATCTCTAGCTGCCCCAGATTCTCCAGCTTGAGCAAGTCCAGCGAGCATAGCGTTTGACGAGAAAGCATCGTGCTGGGGCATACGATCAAACGCTTCTTTTGCCTCGAGCATATGCCCATTCTCGGCATAGCCTTTGAGCATCACAACCCACGAAACCAGGTCCTTCTCTGGCATTCTCTCTAGGATCTCTAGCATATCACTCACACTGCCAGCCATGTGAAATGCTTGTAATAGTGCTGTGAAAGACACTCCACTCCACAGTGGCATCTTTTCAAAAGTCACCTGAGCAAGCTGAGTTTCGGTATTTGCAGAAAGAAAAACGTTCCAGCA